CGTGTTTGAGATTTGTTTTCAATCAAATATCTTTACAAATCTATCGTTTTTTTCTTTTTTTTCTTTTTTATAAATTCTGGCCTTTTCTGTCGCACTATGAATTAAAAAAGAAAAGAAATCCAAAAGTGAATCTTTTGGTACGATTCACTCCAAAATCAGATCAAATTTAATAATGATCAATTGTAAATAATGAAATTAAAAATGTAGATTAATATCAAATGTTTGAAATCTTGAATAAAAGCTTTTTAATATTTTTTGTTTTTTAGACTACATGATAGGTTTTTTATTTGGTCTCCGATTCTTCTTCACAGAATATTAATCTTTAATCAGAATTTTTTCTTTTTAGGAAATCTTTAATCAGAGTTCAATTTTTTTTATCAAATATTTTACGGATCCCTGTATTTTTGCTAAAAGTAACGATTTAGTCCATAAACTTTAGTTGGTAACAATTTAGTTCTTGTACTTTTGAATTGGTATCAATTTAGTCCATGAACTAATTTACTATGTAACAATTTAATCTATGTAGTTTAAAATTTGTAACAATTTAGTCTCTACCATGAAAATTTTTGTCAAAATTAAGTATCGATTTTTATCTTTCAACAATTTAGTCTTTGTAATTTATAAACATATTTTTATCCTTCATTGGTTTATCAATCTAAATGTATAAGAAATTTAACAAAATTTTTCACGATAGAGACTAAATCATTACAAATTTAAAACTATTGGGACTAAATTGTTACATACTAAAGTTTGAGAATCAAATTGTTACAAATTTGAAAGTATATAGGGACTAAATCGTTACAAGCTAAAGTTTAGGAACTGAAGCGTTACTTCACTGAAAGTATAGTGACTAAAAGTGTTTTTTAACCTAACTTTAAATATGTTATATAGGTTAAGTGTTAATTTTCAACTCTACTTATTGTGCTAAAAAAAATTAAGTGATTAAGATACATATACTTTCAAATCTATGTAATTTTCTAAAAATAAATAATAATTTATGTGGTTAATTTAATGTTATATTAATCATGTGACACATGCATGACATATGAATTAAAATAATAAATATGGCTGAAATTTTATATAGGTTGCTTTAACTTGCAACTTCCACCCCATTATTGTTTATATATATATATTGCTTTTTTCTAGTTCACCCTCCATTATAATGTTTTGCACCAAAGGACATGGAAGATAGTAAATCAATGAGTATGAAAAAGACAATATATTGTTTGTTTAACTTTTCTATAATCTTTTTAAAAGGTCTAGTTTCATCATTGGATTGGATGGCCTATCTATTATATAATTAAAAATTGAATAATGAAAATAGTACCATGTTTGAAAAATATATATTTTAAAATGAATTAGTATTTTTCTTTATATTAATTTTTATCTTGTTCATATCTAATTAAAAAAAATCTAACTAACCTCACTCCAATTAAAAATTCTTTAGATATGTATGCTATTTCACTCTAATTTAAAAAAAGAAAGGAGAGAAATGCCAAGAGTTGATTGACAAATGATTAGGCCGAGAATAATTTCTTGGGATGGTCGCTTCATGTATTGATTAACATAATGTTCCAAACTTTTGTACTTGAAGCATTTTTTTAGTACAACAACACACCGCGAGAGTGAAAATTCAAATCCACATCCTTTGAATCACAAATATTTACCTTAATCAAGTAATCGAAAATCCTTTTATTTACTCTGCTGGTTGATTCCTTGCAAGGTTTTCTCCTTTAATAATTGTTTGGATAATAACTCCTTTATATGAATTCAATCTTGATCTTTAAATTTTTCTAATTATATTGAATTGAAACTCTAAGCCACTTGTTAGACTCATATATAGATATTGAGGGGAAGATTGAACTTTCAGAATAGTAATAGGTATCTTTTTCTATGAGATATGTGATCAGTTTGACAAAACTAAATTAGACTTTTATATAAAATTCAAGAACCAAAATAAAATATTTATATGTAGCATAGTTTGGAAAGTTCAAAGATCAAAAGAAGGTGTTAACTTAAATATCACTCGAGTAATTATGACACTAATAATCTTTCTTCGAGGTTGAAGTTCTAATCGCAACCCAATATATATAATAAAGGTTGATGATATTCTTCAAGAAAAAAAGGGAAAAATTAATTCATATCCCTAACTTTGTTGGTTGAATCAATTAAAAATTTAAATTATGAATTGTATCGATTAAAACCCTAAAATTTCATAAGCAAAACAATTTACACATTTTATTATAGGTTCCGTTTAAAAAACATTAATGTATAATTCTCACATGTATGTAGACTTCTTCAAATGCAAGATTAATGACTAGTATTTCCTTTGAATCCTGCATTTAAATAAATCTACACACATGTGAGAATTTGACATTAACGATGTCTAAATGAAACTCTAACGAAGAGGTATAAATTGATCCACTTACGAAAGTTTAGGGTTTTAATTAATTCAAACCCTAGCTTAGGAGTATAAATCTATTTTTTTTTCCTAAAATAATAAAATAAGATAAGTTGGTTAGATGATGTTTATTTAACTTATTGAGTAATAATTTTCTAACTACTCTCTATGGTTAGGATGGAAAAGGTAGCTTTCAAAAAATCAAGCAGCATAGCCAAAATGGTGGGCTCTGCAGTGTCCATTTCAGGTGCATTAGTAGTGGTTCTATACAAAGGCCCAATTGTTATATCAAATCCATATTCTGAAGGCCCAAAAGATCACACTTTGGGCTCTTCACAATCACAGCCCAATTGGATATTGGGTGGCCTTTGCTTTGTTTTTCAATACGTTTGCAACTCCCTTTGGTACATTCTTCAGGTAATTATTTCCCAACTAAACTTCTCAAATTATCCCTAAATTACAAAAACGACTCTTGCATTTACCATCTGGTATACAATTGCTCAATTGCCCCGACACTTCTTTAATCATAATTTTCTTTTAAGTTGAGTTGTTTTCGTCGAAGTGAGCATAGCTCAGCGGTAATTGACATATATCTTTAGTAACGATTTCGTTTCTAGTTTATAATTTTGAAAAATGGTTAAGTTTGTTTATATTTAATTTTCTATGAAAAAGATTTTAAAAATACTTAGTTTTAGAAATAAAAAAAAATTTAGGGGATAAGGGTTTTTATTTTCTTCTTTTTGTTTTTCTATTTTATGATTTTTTTATTTTTTGTTCTAAACCCATCCTTCTATTTTCTATTTTAAATGGGTTTTATTCCAGGAAAATAAAAGCAAAAATTTTGGGTTTTGAAATTTTATTATTTTAAAAATGTTTTCCAAAATTTAAAAATAAAAACTTGAGAAAATAATCAAGCTACCCTAGTTTCTTTTTTGAAAAAAGATGCTAATTGTATAAAAATTATCCCTAATCCTTTTAGTTAATTCTCAATTTGGTCATTAATCTTTTGAAAAATTCTCAACACACTTTACCGTTAATGCATTAAAAATTTCAATTAAGCCCTTCATTAAATAAATAAATTCCCGTTGATGTTGATGCGTATTGGTGGAAGATATATATATTTTGCAGCTTACCCCATATTCTAATTGTTATTTACAATTACAGACCCAAATCATAAAAATATACCCAGATGAGCTAAGTGTGCTGGCAGTGTACTATGTTATCCAGGCTCTTTTAACTGCTCCAGTGTGTTTGTTAGCAGAAACAGACATCAATGCTTGGAAACTCACAACTCCACTCCATTTTCTTCTGCTTTTGAACTCGGTAACATCCATAAACGCAAAGTATTCTGTTAAGCTTTCGGGTTAAGTGATCGGGAGTATTATAATGTTGAGAAATGATCATATTTACCTTAATTCATCGGCTTTAGTTTTTATGTTTTGTAGTGCTTTTACATAATTCGTCGTAACCTATCAACTTAAGCTTTTGGGTTCAATGAAAGATGAAATAAAATTGATAAACGATTAAATTTACCGTAACCTATCAGCTCAGAAGTTTTTTGGTTTTGTGATAATCTAACATAATGACCATAACTCATCAAGTTAGTTTTTGAGTCTAGTGAGGGGAGAATGCTCTAATATTGATAAATGATTAAATTTATCGTAATCTATAACCTAAGTTTTTAGATTATATTAGGTGGTGATTTAACATAATTCTCCATAATCTATCCCCTAAACTTTTGGGTTTAGTGAAGGGGAGTGTTATAGTATTAATAAATAATTAAATTTATCGTAACTCGTCCGTGATGGATTTGTAGGGTTTGGTGGGTCAGTGTTTTGTTGCATCGATCCATACTTGGGGACTAGGCTTGAAGGGGCCTGTTTATGTCTCGAGTTTCAGGCCATTGTCGATTGCCATTGCTGCTGCTATGGGTGCCATTCTCCTTGGTGATGATCTCCATCTTGGAAGGTGATAGATCTCTCTTAATATATTATTCCTATTTTTCTATTAATTATGCCTCTAAACTTTGAATTATGATTATGTGTAGTTTTAGTCATTAACCTCATTAATAATGACATTCCCAAATTAGCTACTAGATAAGTATTGGTTGATTTAACATGAATGGGAGAAGAGATTTGATATATAAGCTACTAAGAGGATGTCTATTATTGTTATGTGCCACCTCATTTTGCATATTTATAAATATACACATCTTCTTCTTTTTTTTTTAATTTAATTTAATTTAATTTTATTTGTTCAACACGTTGAGCCAAATTTAATCAATATTTGTCTAATAGATCATACAAATCACGAGTAAATTAGTGTTAACGGTAGAGATATATAAGATCACAATTCAAAGTTTTAGGAATGTAAATTAAACGGTATGAATTTTAGGGAACTAAATAGACACAATCATGAATAAGTTCTTTGTGTTTGATTTCATGATTATATCAAGGTCATATTATAAAGTTATTGTTTTTAGTTAGTCCTTAGACTTCAAGAAGTTTCAGTGTTTAGATTTTATTTTGGCACTTGAATTTTCATGTTTATTTGATTATTAAACTTTCAAATATTTTATTTTATTCCTAGAATTTGACAGAATTTTTTTAGTATAATAAATGTGGGGATAGGAGATGAGGGATTGAACTTCCGACCTCTAAAGAGATAGCAAGATGCCTTAACCGCTAAGTTTTGTTCATGTTGACTTTTAATTTGACATGATTATATTATTTTGCATGAAAACTACTATAGGCCACATTTTTTCTGTCTACCTTGAAATAGTTAATAGAATGTCTATATATGGACAAATATTTGAAGCTATATCTAATTTAAAATAAAATACAACACTAACTATGTCTATAACAAAATAAGTTTTCTCTAGAAGATTGTAAATAAATATCTAAAGAATAAGATCTTGAAATATCTTAGCTTTTCCTTAGACTCCAAGGGATTCTAGAGAATTCCTTTGGATAAGGATAGATTAATTAGAAGTATCTAGAATGAGTTACAAGAAGGGCCTAGAAAAATCTTTCTATTGGGATCATTTTCCTCTTATAAATAGGAGGGATGTCCCCATAAATCAAGTGAATAAAGTGAAGAGAGTGAATCAATAGAAGTGAGTGAATAAAGAGACGAAAGTTAGAAAGTGTAAGAGAGTATTCCATCAAAGAGTGTCCATATTCATACTTTACTAATAAAAGTTTATTTCTTCAAGTGATTGTCTCTTTCCTGTTGTGCTAATTTATTCAACAAATGGTATCAAAGCCAAGCTAACAGAGGTAGCTTTGGTGGAGCTTCTGAAGATTGTAAACAGTCTGGGACTGTGAAGCTTGTTGTATGGGAAACAGCCGTTGAGTGCATCCATCACTACAAGATGATGGGAGGAGACCTTCAAGTTGTTGGAGGAGTCAAGAAGTTCAACACGTAAAATTACAAAACATGGTCCACTTGCATGGAATCGTATCTCCAAGGGCAAGACTTATGGGAAGTTGTTGGAGGCAGTGAAGTCACGCCACCAGAGGATGCTACAGCCTTGAAGAAATGGAAGGTCAAGGCAGGTAAGACCATGTTTGCTATCAAAACTACTATTGATGAAAAAATGTTAGAGAACATTAGGAATGCAGAGACCCCAAAAGTGGCATGGGACACATTTGCTTCACTCTTTTCAAAGAAAAATGTTGCAAGGTAGCAACTTCTGGAGAACGAGCTTCTTTCAATTGCTAAGAGGGATATGACAATCAATCAGTACTTCAACAAGGTAAAAACTCTTTATCATGAAATCTCTGAATTAGATCCTACTGCTACTATTTCGGAGTCAAGAATGAGGAGAATTATTATTTATGGCCTTAAACCGGGATATAGAAGCTTCATTATTGTTGTTCAAGGTTGGTCAGTCCAACCTTCTCTTATTGACCTAGAAAATATGCTTGCCGATAAAGAAGCATTGGCCAAGCAAATTTCAGGGGTCACACTAAAGAGCAATCATGAAGAAGCGCTCTTTAGTGATCAAAGAAAAGGCCATCCAAAGTATCAAACTAAAGTAGGATCAAAAGGAGATGAAGGAGCTCAGGAACGCTTTCAGGTAGGGGGAGCTAATAAAAATAATAAAAAATATGAGCATAGAAGAAAAGGCGAATGCTATAATTGTGGAAAAATAGGCCATTATGCTCCAGATTGTCGTCTACGGAAGTAGCCGGCAGAAAGCAATGCAGTGACCTCCCAAATGGAGAGCATTAGTGAAGAGGAGTGGGATGCAGAGGCATTATTTGCATTGACAGAATCTAACTCATAGTCGATGTCCATTACGGTGGAGAAAGAAGACTCGACTCTCCATACAAAACAGGTAAGCTGTGAGAAAGATCGAGTTGTTGATTCAAGCTGTTTTAACCATATGACAGGTGATAAAAAGAAGCTGCAGAATATGATAGAGTACAAAGGGAGTGGAGTTGCTGTAACTAGAAGCAACTCGAAATTGTCTATAACTGACGTTGGTAGGACAATATTGCCTTGCTCCAATTCCAATCAAGTGGAGTTAGAGAACGAATTTTGAATACCAGTAATGGAGGAGAGACTAGTGTCAATATCTCAACTAACATCAGCAGGTAACTTTGTCTTGTTTGGTCCTGTCGGTGTTAAGGTGTGTATCAAGATCAAAGTCAGTGGTACGCCATTGATGGAATGGAGAAAAATAGACTTCATTTATGACATGTCAGTAAAGGCCGCTTACATGAATCAGACACGAAAAAGTGAGGCGACAAATTCGTTGCATGCGAGACTCGGTCATGTCAGCTACAACAAATTGAAAATGATGACGAACAAGTATATTCTTAAGGGGCCGCCTCAACTTGATGTTGGAGAAGATATGGCATGTGCTAGATACCAGCATGAGAAGACATATCAACTACCATTTAAGGAGTCCGAATTAAAGGCAAGGCGAAAATTGGAGTTAGTGCACTCTGACGTTGGAGATGAAAACATCTTCGAAGAACGATCAATACAAGAGATGAGTAAAGTACGACAAGCTTCAATAAAAGTTGAAGAAGATCTTCCATAAGAAAACAATGAAGAGGAAGAAGAACAGTTAAGGACATAGAGTCCTTGGTAAAGTGGAATATATGATCCAGAGCCACAATTGTTGAGGTCAACGAGACAAAGAAAACCAAATCTCAGGTATGTTAATGTAGCATTAACAACATATGAAGACTCGGAAACATATGAAGAAGCATCTCAAAGCATCCAATGAAGAAAGGTCATGGAGGAAGAAGTGGATCTATCAAGAAGAAATCGAACACGAGATTTGGTGCCAGAGGACTAGGACCATCAAAGCATGCAGAGTTCCAGCAACAACTCACATGATCGAAAGAGATAGAATAGTTAGTGTTGAGGGGGAGTGTTAAAATAAAATAAAATACTACACTAACTATGTCTATAAGCTTCTTGAAGGATCTACACAAAATAAGTTTTCTCTAGAAGATGGTAAATAAGTATCTAAAAAAAAGGATCTAGAAATGTCTTAGTTTTTTCTTAGGTTCTAAGGAATTCTAGAGAATTCCTTTAGATAAGGATAGATTAATTTGAAGTATCTAGAACATGTGAGTTACAAAAGGGTCTAGAAAAATCTATCTATTGGGATCTTTTTCCTCTAGTGAATAGGAGGGATGTCCCCATAAATCAAGTGAATCAATAGAAGTGAATGAAGAAAGAGAGGAAAGTTAGAAAGTACGAGAGAGTCTCCCATCAAAGAGTGTCCGTATTCATACTTTTCTAATAAAAGTTTCTTTCTTCGAGTGATTGTCTTTTTCCTTTTGTGCTAATTTATTCAACATTTAATAGTTTCATGTTTGGATTTCAAAATGTATTTAGATTTATGTTAAATAATTAATGAGAATTAATACCACACAGAGAGTAAAATAGGAAAAAAAGAGAGTAAAATAGTTGTTTCAACAAATTTAGATACCAAAACACAATAATTATAATCAAAGTTTAGGTAGAACCCGGCCAATTTTGGAGCAGTCTTTAGTTTTTTAGTTTCAATTACATCTCTAAACTTTTAGATAATGTTAATATCAATTATGTGTGGCTGATACTATTAGTCGAATGTTGCTGTGATATGCCCACTAACTATTCAACGGTTGGTAACGTTTATATTTCTTATTTTTTGATTTTGTTTCCTGTTTCATCTTTGCTTTTGATAACTCTTTTTTGTTTTCAAAATTTCCACCGTTAAAATTGTTTGGAATGCGAAGCATCTGGTAATCCTTTCTTGTTTCTCCTTCTCTAAAATTTTAAACTAAAACATTAAAATTTTTAAATTAAATATTTAATTTTTTATGTTATATGTTTTTAAAATATTTATTATTATAACGATGTTATTTATGTGTTGAAAAAAACTAGAAACAGAAACAAGAAACTTGATTTTGTTGTATCCAAAATTTTTCACAATTTGAGAAACGTTTCTTAAAAATGGGAAAGGAGAGATGGTAACAGTTTACCATACACTTATGTTTGATTCTCAAAATCTGAAAACGAGAAACAAGAAAACAAATGATCGAAAACGTTACCAACAGGCTCTTAATACCCGTAATCTTAAATTAATATGTTGCTTTTGGTTACAATGTTCCTTAACATATTTGCAGTATAATTGGAGCAATCATAATATCAGTTGGGTTCTATGGTATTTTGTGGGGGAAAGCAAAAGAAGAAGAATTGAAGGAATTAGAACATGTTGGTACGTTGGAATCTTCATCCAAAGCTCCATTGCTGCAATGTTATAAAGTTGAAGATGCATAAACTGATGGATTCAATTCCAGTATTCATTTTTGTACTATGATTTTGAGTCAATGGTTATAAAACAAAAAATGTATTTGGGAATTTTGTCATCCAACTGGTAAATGTAAATAGTATAAAGGTTTAAATACTATTTTTATTCATTGTACTTTTAGTTTTGGTTGATTTTGGTGTACTTTAAAATTAAAACATCTATATTGGTTATTTATTTTCAACTTTGATTCATTTCAGCTCCTATACTTTGAAAATGTCTGTGGTCGATCTATTTTTAAAAATATGACAATTTTAACCTCTATTTGAAAAATATTAACATAAATTTTATATAAAATGAAAACCATTTAATATAATTTAATGGCTACATTTCAAGAAATTTTATAAGTGATCTGTCGTGCAAAAATTGTAATTAAAAGAAATAAGATAAAAATAAAAATAAAGTGATCGAAATGGTCACTTCTTAAGGGTAAATTACACTTTTAGTTTCTGATATTCGAATTAGAATTCTATTCGGTACATAAGTTAAAAAAACTTACGCTTTGGTCTCCAACTTTTAAAAAATCTATATCGTATATAAAGGGGTTATAGGAGAAACTTTTTTTTCATCATTTTGCCTTTTTAATTTAAACATTTTCATAGTTATTTTGGGACAATTTTGTCCTAAAAATATTACATTTTCTCTCTCATTCTGTCATTCTCTTTCTCCCATGGCCCTTCCTCCAATTTCTCTTTTTTTTTTCTTTTTTCTTCTCTTAATTCTACTCTATTTTTATTATTTAATAATATCAAAGGTTGGGAGGTAAAGAGGTAGAATAGGTAGAATTTTGTCTCTCTTTCTATGAATTAATTAAAAAAATTATAACTTATTTTTAATTATAATTAATAAGAAATTACAAAAGTTTTGTAACTATTTATCTTCTCCAACTATATAAAGAGTTTTTTCTTACTCTTTTTGTATTTTTCTCACCAAAACTTGAGCAATGTCTTGTATTTTCTTACATTTTAGTTAGATTATTTAATGTTTAACTTTTAGTTTTTTATTCAATGTAATGTTAATGATTGCAATTTCATAGAAAACTTGATTACCTATTATATATAAGTAATTTATTCAAAATGCTTACAAGATGATATACTTGCGTTTTTTTTTTCCTTCTGTGTCATTCTCTTTTTCAATAACGCAAATAAGAATATGCATCGTTATGTTTAGGAACAAAAAAGGATGAAAAAAATCCATGAATATGTGTTTTATTTTTTATAGATTTTTTTTTAAGTAATTCATAAATATGTGTTAAATTATTTATTTTTGCTTGTTCTTACTTATGGAAAAATTTCAATTAATCAACATTTTT